GTTTCTATGGAATAAATAAAAAAAAAAGAAAACTTTATTAAATAAAACAAACAAAAAAAACAACAACAAATGTTAAGTACTCCAATGGGGAATCTGCTTTCATTTATTTTTTTATTTTATTTTCAGTGACCTGCCCACTTTGATACAAAAAGATTACGGACAGTTAAGATTATTCGATAATCTCATCAGTTTTACTATCAAGGGACAACAGTAGATAAGAGATGGAAAACAATATTGCATTTGATTAATTAAAAAAAATGTCTCTCTAAAATTGGGTAGCAGAACGTACAGTAAAGATGTGATTATTTACTCAACTAAGCCTAGTCTGACACAAGGTCATGATATTTGGGCTCTGCGAAGGATCAGGCTGATTTGTAATGGATTGTGATATTGGTCTTCTCACTAATGTACGACAACAGGCATCAACATTTACTAAACTATACAAAGTTAAAGCACACACGCACACACACAGAAAAAGAGAGAGAGAGGGGGGAGGGAGACAGACAGACAATCAGGCAGACAGACAATCAGGCAGACAGACATAGAAAGAAACAAGAACTTCTCGATCTCAGTACAGGCCTGCAAAACTGAGTTAGAATATGGGTTCAATTTTGGATGAAGGTTACTTTTTAGATTCCTGTTTCTCTCCAAGAAACAGTGTATCAACTTATCCATATATATAATTCTCAAAATGTGTGTGTGTGTGTGTGTGTGTGATCGGATGTTGTTTATGCGTTTCCACAGTTTTCATCCGATTTCGATGAAATTTCTTTCTGTTTGATGCATAATTCTTCAATGCCGGTTTTGAGTCCAAATTGTTATCGACAATGGCTCTCCACTACTTCCTGTCCATTATAACTCTCACCAAAGTTTTACTATTTACTATCTGTTCTTGGATATATATCTTTCATAAAAACTTTAATAAAAATAAATACTTTAAATTATTACAATAATATTATTTATATCTATAATTCTCAAAATGTGTGTGTGTGTGTCTGTGTATGTGTGTGTGTGATCGGATGTTGTTTATGCGTTTTCACAGTTTTCATCTGAATTCGATGATTTTTTTTGTTTGATAGATAATTCTTCAGTGCCGGTTTTGAGTCCAAATTCTCTGGAAAAAAATTACAAGCTTCAAGGTTAAAAATCGAAAAAATCTGATTTTTTACACTTTGCGCAAAAAACAAAGGCAAAATTTAATGTCTGCAAAAAACAGCGTACAATGAATTTAGAGAGTTCAAATCTAACACGAAATATTATTAGAATTATAAATTAAAAAATACCGTATATTATTATCATTATGACGGTCCATTGAAGAGGTTCTTTCTTTCAAGATTGAGACCTCAAGAACGGCCCTTTTCAGCCCCCTATTCATATTGTTATCCCCCACCCTATTTGGGGATGTACCGCAGTTGTACCCAATTGTTGTTACTAATATTGATGGTGGGCTGACTTTAAACTTAAACTGCTCCAATTAAACGGTAAAAATTCTCAGTAATGAAAGACCCGGTCGAAGACGGGTTATATTGCTAGTTCTTGCAATAAGAGGGAAAATATTAAGATGGAGAAAAACAAACAATTCAATTATAGCAATAATTAAGATTATACCGACCAAAGACGATGGAATAAAATATATAATTTGAAAATGAAGAGTGTATACCTTCATAGTGTTGTGTCAAGAAACAGTAATAATGAGATTCGTTAAAACTAGTCGTAAAATACTATTAGGTTGGTGCAAAAATAATTTCGTTTTCTAACATATGTTACTATGTTAGAAAACGAAATTATGTTTGCACCAACCTAATATTAAGTTGCTGCAAAAATAATTTCGTTTTCTTACATAGTAACATATGTTAGAAAACGACATTATTTTTGCACCAACCTAATAATAGTGAGAATTTAACCGAAGAGATTTCCAACAATATTTTATGATTATAACTCCTCGGCATATAAGCAGAAATGCTGGGAATGTAATAATGATAAGTTAGAGTAAAACACGTGATGTAGTTTGATACCGAAATCCAAGGTAACATTTGAATAGCAAAAGATGTCTTCCAAAAGCTAAGCAAAGAATTAAGAATCAGGAAAATATCGTTGCAAACAAAGAAAAAAGCATTAGGCAGAAATGTAATATCAATATTTCTATACAGTATCTCACGTTGAAGCAGTGTTTCCCGTACGATCACCGAAGCATCGAGCCTCGAGGTCATCATAAACATTGTCATTTATAGTTTCGTCATATGGAACCCAGTTGGTCGTCTTATACTACGGATAAAATCATAAAAAAATTACCTAGATTTTCTGTCTCGTCTTATCTATGGGTCGCCTTGTACGTGGAAATATAAGGTACTTATTTCAAATCTCAGTAATGACAAACTAAGTACCTCTATTTTTATTAGAGTTTCTGCATATCCTTTTTTTTCCGAATAAGGAGGATGACAAGGTATATAGGCATTATTATCTTGCAAAAAAATAATGGCAATAGTGTCTACCTTACGAAAAACTAATATAGTGGCAACAGAGGGATAAGGATTTTTTTTTCAGGGAAACACTAACATTCAAATGAAAACTAATTACCCAGTCAGCATATCCTTCAAGAGTTATTGAAAACCAAGAACAACATTTCATAAAAAAAGACATTTATGACAGTAGTATATCCTGTCACGCACAACAATTAGTATGAGAACTTTTTTAGAAGATCACTGCGTTTTTTCCTGACCGCTATAGAACTCATATAGTTATTATGTTGTACTAAAAACTCAAACAGGAATATACAAGTTCGTCTTTGGTCAGGTTCACTATCATTCGCTGACTTTTGAACAGGAGTAGGGGTTTGTACATTGTTTCCTGTTTAGGAATGGGTTTCCGGTTCCTTCAAAAGTCTACTTCTAATGTCTCCATATAAACTCTGAAATTTTATCTAATATTTTTTTTCCTGATTTATCCTTTGTTTTCTGTTTAGGATTGAACTTCAGGTTTCTTCTAAAGTCCATTTTAACTCTATTCTTCTCACCCCTCCACTTAAACTCTTAAATCTTATTTAATATTTATTTTTTCCTCAATAGGAGTAAATAGATTTGCACTCTTCCCCGCTATTTTGAACAGGAGTAGAGCTCTATCCCTTGCTTCTTGTTTAGGATTAGGTCTCCGATTCAACCTGAAGTTTTCTCATTCGCTTTCATTACCGCCGTTGTGCATCAGTGGGATTATCGCCTTGCTTGGGGCAAAGGGATAAAAATAAAGACAAAAAAAAAAAAACAATGAAATAAGCATTTATTACTATCTTGCCACTTGATTCCAGATGAAATAATTCAAAATCTCATAAATTCTGTTCCTGATCGGATAAGACCTGTTTTGGCATACATTGGAAATAATTGCAAATATAATACTATAGTATTGATTTTCAAAATATATTCCTGCAATCTGCGATATCGTTGAAACTGAACAATCAAAATCTTTTTAGTTACCTGTGCTCGAATCTGATCACAGGCTTCGTTGTGAAATTATCTAACACGCCACAGAGAACGCATTTAAAAAAAAAGTGCCTCACACTGGCATAAGGCCACGGTAATCGAGCATCTAGCGAGGACTGGTGGTTGAGTTTGTTCTGCGAGAGTGTGAGTGAATGCGGACCGAATTCGCTATAGAAGAAAATTGGTGTACCAAACAAGTTTGTTAACCACTGCGCCACGACAGGGCAACCGGCAATCTAAAAACCATTGTCCCAGTTCTCATTATTGAAAAAGAAAGCAATTATAAGACTTTAAGATATGCATTTCTCATTGAATCCTACTGACGATGCTTAAGTGATCTGACCGCGGGAGGTTCCGATTGTATAAGCAGAAAGAAAGACGGAAGGAAGGAAGAAAGAAAGAAATTGGAATGGATCCGCTTAATCTATTATTAACCAGAGTAAACGAACGTCCAGTGAATCAAGGCAAACAGATACAGTTATACACATTTAATTCTTCTTCACACAGAGAAGCCAAAACTATTTTTCATACCTAAAGCCATTAAAATGGCTTGTCCATTATCTCAGCAAACAGTAAAATGGTTTGTTTATTTATTCATTCTTATACGAACAGGTATGAATGAAAAGGAGCAAGATTTCGGTCAGTAAGAGAATAAAGAATATATATTTTTCAATTCTGATTTGATAATATAATTGCTTTAGAACCATCTTAAAATTAAAAAAAAAACTCAAATAATCCCACAGTCAAATTATTAGTATTATTGTACTCATACTCAAGATGGCTGTAATATGGGGGCCTTGCAGGATGTTCTTAAACAATTGCAGTGCCAACTTTCTCCAACTAACGTGATTGTTAGTTGTTTTTTTTTAAGTAGCAGAATGAGAAATCTGTCAGTTACCCTTGCTAACACTGTGAGGCTAGCACCCACTAAACTTGTTATTCGGTAGACTGCCAAATACACCAAGGAAATAGTACAGCTAAGTACGTATGCTGATTTTATAAGTGTAGCTTAGATGTGACACAAGGCTGAACGTATGGGGTACCCAGTAAGAATCAATTTCAATACTCAGTAGTAATTATTTCAACGAGACAAGGCTTTCTAACCATTAAACCATGTAGATATGCCCATGGTGATTTTCTAAGCATAATTTACATGTGACACAAAGTGGGAAGTATGGGGTACCCATTACAGCCAAGTACGTATGAGCTATAAGACTTGCTTTTATTTAGGTCGCTTTTCGCTGAGCTGTTTGTTGGTTCTGTTTTTAGTGACATATCAACACCTCCATTGCTTATTTAATGCCGAAATCTAAATATTTTGTACACAGTTTTATTTTAATTTTGGAGATAGTAATGGTTTAGTGATACAAGTCTTATTAATTAACCCACAGCTTGGGGCACTGAAGAAACGGATTCGTACCTTTCCCAACGCGTAAGTGAATATAAAGAAATCGACTAGAATTGGAACTCGCCTCTCCGATTAACAATCCCGAGCCATTATCCATTACACTACCTGCGAATCCAAGTTTACAGCACCTGGTATTCCCAAGTGGTTACCCATCTCGGTGCTGACCAGGTTCGACGTTGCTTAACTTCGGTGATCGTACAGGAACTGGTGGTTCAAGGATGAAACTAATTGGGAATAAGTGTCATAGGGAAGGGTAGATTCAAGCCGTTCGTGAATGACGCACAGGAAACTGGAGTTATGGTTCAAGTAATTGAGTTCTTTCTTGGTGCGAACAGGAAACAAAACGAAGATAAATATATACGAAAATTGGCCATCTAGTATTATCTCACTATAATAATACGAGAGGCAACAAAAGCCGATAATGGTAATATTGATATTAACTGATTCCTTATAAGGAAACATTCGGTATTTATTCACTGAGTAGCTAGTGCTTCTTATGGTTGAAATTTATAAAAAAAAAATCTATTAAAAGTTTGTTTTTTTTTCAGAAAAATAGGTTTCTCAAATCCAGTTACTATCATCGTTCGTTCCAGTATTGATCGATGCATTCTTCGTAACCTTTCTAGTAGTGTGAAATGTCAACATCTTGATTATGTCATTATTTTTCTCTTCAAGTCTCTTCTCTGCAAACTATTCAACGGATGTAGTTTTGCTATTTGGCAGTTTATGATTTTTTTTTCACGGTGGAGTAATGTATAGCGGCTCGGATTGAGAAATCGGAGAGTTCGAATTCTAGTCACATCTTTAACATTCACTTACATGTTAATACCCTTGGGAAAAGTATAAATCGTCTTCTTCTCTCCACCCAGCTATGGGTAAATAGCAGGACAGACCAGCTCTTGGATGGCAACTGGTCTACTGCAGAAAGAAATGAAGAAGTGTGTATCACGGATGGTACATGAAAAAAAAAGAGTCTGATCAGCACTGGGTTCTCCATACTTTTGACCTAGTGTTATATCTAAGCGTAGCTTTGATAATCGCCATTTTATCTGCAGTTGATGTTATTGGTGTATATTCCATTTTTAGAAAGCTCCTTCGAACTTTTGATTAAGTGACACAAAATTACATCACGTATTAATAGATAAAATTTAATTAAATATTTATAAATTTTTGATTGGTTTTTACGTATATACATTATTTATACACCAAAACAATTTTTATGTATGTATATTATATCAAAGCATTTACGATCTGTACATAAATTAAAATAAAATTACAAATATTGATCACAAGAAACGATATTATATTTATTATTATCATCCATTGATAACTTTTTTGTAAAAAAAAAAAAAAACCTAAGATAACACAAAAAAAAACCTCTGAGAAAACAAGAAGAGGCACGGTGGAGTAATGGGTAGCAGCTCGTATTGTAGAATCGAAACCGCAAGTTCGAATCCATTATATTCAGTTACGCGCTAATACTCTTGGAAAAGGTATTGCTTCTTATGGGTAAGTAGCAGAACAGAACGTGTTCTATAGGATGGTAACGGGTATACCACAGGAAGAATGAAATGGCAACCTACTGCGAGAAAAAATCTAACTCATCAGTCATCTACCCAAAGATGCGTAATCGTGTATCACGCATGTCAGATAACTAACTGATTCTTAGTCCACGAGGTTCGGAGAATAATGGTCCCCGCTAAGACCTACAAGCTTAATTCGCTCAAAGCTATTTTTAATCATTGAGAAAACGATTGTATAAAACTGAAACTTTGCCTATTGATTGATCGCTGACATCCATATGAAAATCTCGATTGTAATTAGCCAACATCCTAAACTGACTGTACTCTTCATTACATACCAGTGACAAGACCTTTGTCAAGATATCAGACAAAGAGGAAGAAAGATATATACCTTTTCAAGGGGTTAATGTAAAAGTATAATATAGATAAAAATAAATAATAATATAAGGTGGCTACCAAACTGGACAATAGATTTGGTTGTTACCGAATTACCGTCTATGATTTTATCTGACCGTGCGTCGGGGATGCATCGATAAATATAGTTTCTTATTTGGTGGAGCCAGACATTGCTTTGGCATTCTATAGTAAGGGTGGCTTTTATTAGTCGGGTCTAAAAACTTGCTTTCTTTTCCATCCGCTTTCAACTCGGCCTTGGCACGAGTATTTGGCGCGAAGCCTGTATTCTGACAGATGACCTGGGTTTAAGTGGCGTCAACTTAGGGGCCTTTCGCGTAGATAGAGCGTAAAATTATTTTATACACACAAGCGTGCAAATATATATCCGGCAGTATGGCGAAATCTTATTGGCTCGATTCAGAAGTGATTAAAAAAATCTGATGTTTCGTTAAATTTTGGGAGCGTGGAGAACTTCCATACAATATATATATATATATATATATATATATATATATATATTGAAATAATATTTATATATATATATATATATATATATATATATATATAGAGAGAGAGAGAGAGAGAGAGAGAGAGAAAAGAGAGAGATAATCAAACAAATCCTTTGCCATCATAAAAGTGGTCACACTAATAGTGGTCTGTTTTTTCAAGCACGATGTGGAATGAAGTTCAAGTCTGTAAGGTCAGAGGAAGTAGGAGGTGGTAGGAGTTAACTGTGAGGAATTGATAATGGGAGCGAAAGGGTCAACTTAAATCTTAACTCGCCGAAAATACCTAGTACAAAGTTTACCCTTTTCCCCGTTTTAAGCGGACACTAGGCACGAGGCAAGGGTTAAGGAGGGTAGTAGGTCTCTATCTTAAAGGGTGGAGGTTTTATTAAAGAAAGGCCTAAATATTAACCTTATGACGACAAATAAGAATATTAGAAGAAAACACAAAATTTTAACTTTAATTTAAAATTTAAATTTTAAATTTTAAAATTCTAAAATTTAAATTTTATATTACAAGGATCCACTTGGATTATATAAAAAGTATTTTACCTTTACATATGTACACACACACACACATATATATATATATATATATATATACATACATTTTCACACACACACACACACACATATATATATATATATATATATATATATATATTATTGGCTTTTATTCTTCAAATTTTTTTTAACAGGCCTATTATATATATATATATATATATATATATATATATGATACCAATAATGTCAATAAAATTGATATTTATCATATGCGAACCTTTTGACTGAATTAGAACACGAAGAGATAGATTTTCATGTCGGAACTTTCGAACACGCCTGTGTTCTTTTTCAACAATACAAGGAATAAACAAAGTGGGAATCCCTCTTCCGAGGAATGGTGTTGGCTAGAGGTCTCTCTATGGAAATTATACTCTGAGTAAACCCAAAATCCTGTTTAATCATTCAATGTTTGAATTTATTTTTAGAATAAATTTCAAATCCAATCTGCGTCTTTCTTGAATGTTGAATGTAGACGCTAAAAGCACACATCTGATGTCATCAACGCTAGGAAATGGTTTGTTGAAGTGTGCAGCGACAAGGAAATTGTTGTTATTGTCCCAGATATTTTTTTTTATGGTTATTGAACTGAAGACGTAATTCTGTTACAGTTTCTTCAACATCATTTCCATTTTATTTATTTTTTTCTGTATTTGTGGCAGAAAATCAAATATATAAGATTTGAACTATTCCAGTTCAGAGCAGATGGTTTCAATACTACGTGAGTGCTGTGGGGTGTGAAACTGCTATCAGTGATGATATGTCTACAGACTTGGTATTTGGGTTGATTCTAGTTCATATTCCCTTGGTGAGGTGGTGAATGATGTGTAGCGAATGATGTTAAGATTGTATGTAGATTAGGGGCACTGACGCCTAGCGTGAGGTGGGTTTTCGCCGAAGAAGAGGATTCATACCTTTCCCAAGGGTATTAGTTCGGAAATGAATATAATGGTTTCGACTGGAATTCGAAATCGGTTCTCCAATGCCATATGATCCAGAAGCCTTAGTAATTGATTTTTAATAGTTTTAAGTGGGTAATTCATATTGAGAAAGTAACTGTGTTCTTGGAAAACCTCACTTTTTGAATAGATACGTTTTATACGTAAACATTGTCTGTAGATTACTGATTTGGGCAGTTGTGGGGTGACAGCTATTGAAATGTAGGCAGCAATGACCCTTTGTGGATTTAGTGGATAGCGTAGTGGTGCTGTGGTTATTATTTAGACATGCCAGTAGGAGGAACGGTGAAGTAATGGATAGCGGCTCGGACTGAGGAGTCGAAGAGCTGAGTTCGAATTCCAGTCGAATCCATTGCATTCACTTACGTGCTAATTCCTTTGGGAAACTGATGAATCCTCTTCTCTCTCCAGTTACGGGTAATTAGAAGAACAGGCTGGGTTCTATAGCCTAGGATAGCAACTGGTCTAGGAGAAGGAAACTGAATTCAAACAATGGCTCTCCACCTCCCTCTATCCTTTGCGACTCTCAACAAGTTATTTCCCTCTGTTACCTTCCGCAGACCACGTTCTGTCATCTAATTGCTTAAGCCCACTAGATATGTCATGCGTTGTTTTCCCTTGTCCCTCTTTCAATCTAGTCGACCCGTGAGTATCAGACTCTCCACGCCCTCCTTTCTCATTATGTGTCCGAGAAATATCAACTGCCTTTTCCTGATATTAAACATGAGGCGCATTCGTGTTTGCATCCTGTCCAAGACCTCATCGTTGCTCACACGCTCGGTCCACGAAATCCTCAGCATGCTTCGAAAGCAAAAATTGAGAAAGAATTAAAGAAAAAAAGCCAACTAAACGACCCAGTCGTTATATCTTCGACTTTTTCGTCTTATGATTCACACCCGACTCGCCATATTTCTCAGGAAAACCAGATTTCTGTGTCTTTGGAATGTTATAGTCTTAAGAAGATAAGACATTGACATTTTATTATATTTCTTTTTCATTTGGTCTATAATTTTATTATCTTTGTTATTAAGTTATTCCCAAACTGTGAAACTGAATAAACTATATACCCAAACACATATAAAAGAAAAAGCAAAAAAGAAAAATATTCATTTAAATGATTCAAATTTTAGCGTAACGTCTCTTTTGTTCGCATAAGAAGTTATATCAACATAAACATTACTTTATGCTGATGAAGTCCAGAAGTCCGCCGAAACGCACGCAACACACGAACATTTACACTTTGTCATTAATTTTCCTGATATTTTTCTGGTATAT